TACAGGCTTGAGCCACCGCGCCCGGCCTTATCAGTCAGCCCTTGTTCATCCCTGAGCGGATGTGTGGTGATAGTGTGGTGGACCTTTACTGGGCACTCTGCCAAATAATTAGAGTGGCATTTGTGCTTTAGTTCATTTGGCTATCCCTTTCACCCTGGCGTTTCATCAACAAGAGAAAAAATAATAATAATAATAATACATTGTAAAGTTGAGAGAAGCCCTTTATAGATCTTACAACTCTCACATCTATTTAAATGCAATTGGAACCCCGCAAGAAATACCAGATCAATTTAAAGCTTGAAATCAAATAGTTACAGGATTTAAGTCAATATTTTGGTAAATGACAGTCAATAAAAATGTAGATTAGATAAACTACATCTATTACAACCAACAATGAGTTTTTCATGAGTTAAAAAGAGTTTTCCTCATGAGTTTTTCATGAGTTAAAAAGAAAAACTCATGTCGGACGCAGCCCTGAGGCTACCTGACCTGACAAAACTCTCTACACTCTATGTGTGTGTGTGGTGGGGGAAATGGCAGTTGGAGTTTTAACCCAGACTGTAGGGCCCTGGCCAAGGCCAGTGGCCTATCTCTCAAAACAACTAGACAGGGTTTCCGAAGGCTGGCCCCCGTGTCCAAGAGCCCTGGCAGCAACGGCCCTGTCAGCACAAGAAGCAGATAAGCTAACTCTTAGGCAAAACCTAAAGTCCCCCCATGCTGTGGTAATTTTAATAAATACCAAAGGACACCATTAGCTAATAAATGCCAGACTAACTAGATACCAAAGCTTGCTCTGTAAAAATCCCCGCATAATCATCGAAGTTTGCAACACCCTAAACCCCGCCACTTTGCTCCTGGTATCAGAGAGCCCAGTTAAACATAATTGTGTAAAAGTATTAGACTCAGTTTATCCTAGTGGGCCCAACCTCCGAGACCATCTTTAAACATCCAGTAGACTGGGAGCTGTACATGGATGGGAGCAGTTTCGCCAAGCCCTGCAAAGTGACTCTGAAAGAGATGATAAGCCCTGCTCCAGTCACACCCGGAAGCTGACTGGTCCACGCATGGCCGAAACACAAGGAAACTCATCGTGGGACTCATTTTCCTTAAAATTTGGACTTGTACAGTAAGGACTTCAACTGACCTTCCTCAGACTGAGGGCTGTTCCCAGTATACAGACATCAAGTTACTGAGGTAGGACACAAGACTGCTACAGTCCTATTATTTTATTATTTTATTTTTTTTGAGACGGAGTCTCGCTCTATCGCCCAGGCTGGAGTGCCGTGGCCGGATCTCAGCTCGCTGCAAGCTCTGCCTCCCGGGTTTACGCCATTCTCCTGCTTCAGCCTCCGGAGTAGCTGGGACTACAGGCGCCTGCCACCTCGCCCAGCTAGTTTTTTGTATTTTTTTAGGAGAGACGGGATTTCACCGTGTTAGCCAGGATGGTCTCGATCTCCTGACCTCATGATCCGCCCGTCTCAGCCTCCCAAAGTGCTGGGATTATAGTCTTGATCCACTGAGCCTGGCCAGTCCTATTATTTTATGGTTATTATAAGTGTACAAGGACTCTAAAAGAAACTTGTTTATATAATGACACCCAGTACAAAGTATGTAATCCAGGAAGTGACCAGCCCGATGTGTGCTATGACCCCTCTGAACCTCTCATAATCACAGTTTTCAAAATAAAATTAAGGAGTGGTCCTTTTCTAAGTGACACAGGTAAAGTAATAGCTTAAAAAAAAAAGGGGGGTCGCCAAAAATGTAACCTTAAAATTTGAGGCCTGGCCTGGTGCGGTGGCTCACGCCTGTAATCCCAGCACTTTGGGAGGCCGAGGAAGGCAGATCACAAGGTCAGGAGATCGAGACCACGGTGAAACCCCGTCTCTACTAAAAATACAAAAAATTAGCCGGGCGCGGTGGCATGCGCCTGTAGTCCCAGCTACTCGGGAGGCTGAGGCAGGAGAATGGCGTGAACCCAGGAGGCGAAGCTTGCAGTGAGCCGAGATCACACCACTGCACTCCAGCCTGGGGGACAGAGCGAGACTCCGTCTCAAAAAAAAAAAAAAAAAAAAAAATTTTGACACCTGTGCCGCTATGAATAATAAGCAGAATGGGATGGGATGCGGTTCTCTAGATTGGGAAAGAAAAGTTACACAGCAGAAAATAAGTATATCTGTCAAGAATTGTATTTATGTAAAATGTGTCAATACTGGTCTTGTGTCATTTGGGCTACTTGAAAAAAAAATTAAAAAGATCCTGTTTGGCTCCAAAAAGGAAAAGTCAGCCCCTCCTGCATGAGTGGGAGCTACCTTTGGAATTGGTAATCACAAACCCCTCAGACCCAAAATGAAAAAAAAAAAAAAATAACATTAGACATTAATGAAAAAGGACTAGATCCTAGCGTAAGCATCCTAATAAAAGGAGAGGTTCAATGAGACTCTCTAGAACCAGTATTTCAGACTTTCTATGATGAATAAAATGTGCCAGTACCTGAGATTCCAGGAAAAACTAAGAATTTGTTTTTGCAATTAGCCAAACATGTAGCCCAGCCTCTAAAAGTCACTTCATGTTATGTTTGTGGAGGAAGCCTAACAGGAGATCAATGACCACGGGACGCCCGAGAATTAGTTCCTACAGACCCAGCTCCTGATGAATTCCCGGCCCAAAAGAACCACCCTGACAATTTTTGGGTTCTAAAAGTCTCAATTATTAGACAGTATTGCATAGCAAGAGAAGAAAAAGAATTCACTCATCCTGTAGGGCGGCTTAGTTGTCTTGGGCAAAAGCTGTATAATAGTACCGCAAAAACAGTTACATGGTGGAGTTCCAATTATGCAAAAAGAAATCCATTCAGTAAATTTCCAAGGTTGCAGACTGTCTGGGCCCACCCAGAATTCCACCAGGACTAGACTGCCCCCACCAGGTTATACTGGATAGGCAGACATAGAGCCTACGCTAAGCTGCCTGACCAGTGGACAGGTGGTTATGTTATTGGCAATATTAAACCACCTTTCTTCTTACTGCCCATAAACAGGTGAACTTCTGGGCTTCCCAGTCTATGCTTCCCGTGAAAAACGAAGCATAGCCATAAATAATTAAAAAGATGATGAATGGCCCCTGAAAAAATCATACAATACTATGGACCCGCCGCTCGGGCACAAGATGGCTCATGGGGATATCAGACCCCCATTTACATGCTCAACTGAATTATACGGTTACAAGCTGTTTTAGAAATTACTACTAATAAAACTGGTCAAGGCTTGACTATTATGGCCTGGCAAAAAACAAACAAACAAACAAACAAAACACTCAGATAAAAAATGCTATCTATCAAAATAGATTGGCTCCCGACTACTTGCTAGCAACTAAAAAAGGGTCTATGAGAAATGTAACTTTACTAATTACTGTCTACACATAGATAACCAAAGGCAAGTAGTTAAAGACATAGTTTAACATATGACAAAACTGGTACATGTACCTGTGCAAGTGTGGCACGGACTTAATCTGAGAGCCATGCTTAAAAATTAGTTCCCAGCACTAAGAGAATTTAAAACTCATAATAAAAGTTATAATAGTAATAAAAACCTGCCTACTGCTCCTTTGTTTGCTACCTGTATTTCTTCAAATGATAAAAAAGCTTCATTGCTACCTCAGTTCAACAAAATGCTTCAGCACAAGTGTACTATACGAATCACTATCAATCTACTGCACAAAAAGACATGAGTAGCAAAAATAAGAGTAAGAACTCCCACTAATAAAAAGTGTGAGTCTCCAAAGGGGGGAAATGAGGAAAGAGACAGACCCTCTCATATTGTTTTATGTTGTTTTATATTCAGTACCTGTTTTAAGAAAAAACAATGAAGTAAAACCAAAGACAGGCAGCCCAGCACCAGGCCTAGAACCAGGCCTGGGTCTGCCTGGCCTAAACCCAGTAGTTAAAAATCAACTCATGACTTAGAAACCGATGTTCCTGATATTGTACAGAAGAATACTATGAAACTCCCTGCCCTGTTCTGTTTCTCTCTGACCACCAGTGCATGCAGCCCCATCACATACCCACTGCTTGCTCAAATCAATCACGACCCTTTCATGTGAAATCTTTAGTGTTGTGAGCCCTTAAAAGGGACATAAATTGTGCACTCGGAGAGCTTGGATTTTAAGGCAGTAGCTTGCCGATGCTCCCAGCTGGATAAAGCCCTTCCTTCTACAACTCGGTGTCTGAGAGGTTCTGTCTGAGGCTCACCCTGCTACACAAGTCTCAGTAGAAAATATTAAGAAATCTGAGAAACTATACACAACAAATTAAGTCTCTGAAAGAAAATAAAACCCATTTTCATGGACGTATAAAAAATTCTATCACTGTCTATATTTATAAAAACATTAAGATTTTCATGGCTATAGTGCCCCCCAATATAAACATATATATACATATATACACACACACGCGCATATTTTAGATATTAGAAAAACAATCTAATGGTTACCCTTGCAGTCTTAAATGAAATATAACAAAAATAAATTATTGCCAAAATATAAGATTAATAAATTATTAAACTGCTAGGAGCTACATTAAGAGCAATAAAAACCAGAAAGCTTAACGTATACTTTAATCATTAGGAAACTCAGCTTCCCTTTGGGCAAATATTGCTGAAGTCATAATTCTTTCCTGATTTACTTTTAAAGATATTTCAGAAACACGATAATTTTAAAACAAAAAATAAAAGAGAAGCTTGGACTGAAGGAAATTGGATGGGGAATCAAGAAACAGAGGTATTACTCTTGGTTCTCCAAATTATTCTGTGTGGCTCCAGGCAAGTCATTTGCAACTCTCAGTTCTTCTCATTTCCTAGTAGAATGTCTCTAAGGAGCCTTCCTTAGTGCCAGGAAGCAAGCACTTTGCATCTAAAGAATGTTGCTACCTGAATCTATGAAGACCAAAAAGTCTTTGAAAGAGGAGAGGCAGGGCCCATAAAGAGGCAAGAATGGTAAAAACAATATACCTTCAAGTTTTGGGGTCGTGTAAATTTGTTGAGAAGTGCAGTCTGAATGAGCTCCCACCGGCTCCCCGCAGTTCGCTCACCATTCTTTTGGAAAAAAGAAAAACACATGAGGAAGTTATTCTAAGTTCTTTTACATCACAGAATCAAAGGTCAAACAAGCAAGTACCAAACCATTTTTCAGAGACTAAAAGAATCTCGGTTTTGTTCTTACCTCATCTTCTACTGGGTACAAATTTTGTTCTGAACAAGGCATTTTAACATGCTTGTTATCCCACGAATCTTTATAATGTGTTGGAAAAGGTTTAGGAACTTCTCCTGCTCGCAAAAGATCTACCTGAAATTGAGGGTAAACAAAATTGTCAGTGCATAAAAACTAAATTTATCTTCTATAAAATAATCCAAAGTAACCAAAGCAAATGCTGTAAAATAAAGACCAGCTCCCAGGCAAGAAATCACCAAAGAACCCTTCAGCTCTTCCCATTCCTCACCTCTATTCAATCAGGTTCCAAGTCACCAGACACAGTACATATCCTAGCTCCATACTCCCTAGGAATCCTTCCTTGCCTCAGCTTTTACTAAGTGCTTCCTATCCTTCTGCCTAACTCCAGCTGTTGCTAGACACATCCAGCCCCCATAAAACCCTTATCCTCACTTTGGAATAACATTATCTTTCTAAGGAACTCCCAGGCTTCTAATGCTATAATGCCTATACTCTGATTATGTCATCCTGATTTTCATATACTTTCTTATCAAAACACTATTCATTCCAAACAAGTCTTAAACACTTAAAATTCCTTAAACATAGCAAATTCATTTTCATATCTACATCCCTGTATACATACTACTGTGGCCTCTCTTTTTAATACCACTACTACCAATTGCCACCTCCCCCACTGTATCTGGTTAAATCTCTATTGTCACCTTCACAGCTCTGCCAAATTTTCATTACCTTTATGAAGTCTTCAGAACCTTCAAAGTAGGCAGCTATTTATCTTGTTTTGTTAGATTATTATCATGCTAGAGCACACTTGTTTTCTTTCCCTCATTAGATCCCAAACTTCCTGAAAATAACCATATTAACTTTGTATTCTGAATACGTAAACTAGAATCTGGCATGTATACATGTGTATGCACATACATGCAAATATATATGTACACACATATGCTACTACAGTAACTATTAAGTAAAAGTTTGAGGAAATGTTACAGTAGGTAGCCAGTCAGACATGAGCAGGGCAGGACAGGGCTCCTACCACCACCGGGAATGTCAGACAACCTTCAAGAGATGCACGGGCAGCTGTGAAACTGCCTCTCTAAAATAACTGGATGCAGCTGGCGCCAGGGAAAGGAGTCACCCAATAGATAGAAAAATCTGAAATTGGTGATCAGCAGCTTCCTGTTAAGATCTTAGGAGCTGGGCAAGCCAGACCCAGCATGTGTACTAGGAAGCAAAATGGCAAAAGTTTAACTGGTATATGACCTTATAAGAACACTTGACTGGTAAGGGAAGAATACCTCAAGCAAGCATGTGTACAACTCCAGTAATTACACTGCGCATGCAGACAGCCCATCTCAAGGGAAGAATCAGGGGAGAAGGGGACATAACCCCCTGGAAGCATGCCAACATATAAAATCTCAAGTCAAAGGTCAAACTATGTACTTGATCTCTCAAGTCGCTTGCTTGGCCCTTTTCCAAGTGTATTTACTTCCTTTCATTCCTGCTCTAAAGCTTTTTAATGAACTTTCACTCCTGCTCTAAAACTTGCCTTGGTTTCTCATTCTGCCTTATGCCCCTCAGTCAAATCCTTTCTTCTAAGGAGGCTAGTATTAGCATTGCTGCAGACTCATATAGATTTGCCACTGGTAAGAGAAAGAGATTATGGTTTAAAGTTTAACATTATGCCTATTCTGGATATTATATATAAAAGAAATCACATAATATGTGGCCTTTTGTGTCTGGGCTTTTTCGCTTAGCATAATGTTTTCAAGAGTAATCCATGTGGTAGTATGTATGAGTACTTCACTGCAGAGTATAATCACATAAATAAATATATAATTTCACTTGTAGTATGTTATGAATATGAGGAACATTGTGTTATGAGACCAGCTCAGATTTAGTTTATCTGGTAAACTTAGGTAAAGCTTCCTTGAGGAATGGTAACTGAGCTTAACTCTAAAGGAAAAAATTAACAAGGAAAAGGGTGAAACAAAAATAAAATTCTAAGCCCCCCAACCAACTGAATGGACCCCTCCCTCAGTCAAGGGCATTCTAAAGCAAACCCAAAACACTAGTTCAGGCCATGATGGGAACAGGTGGTTGGACATGCTTCATTATACCTTCCTCCCTTTGAAATTTAGACATGACTGACCAGCATTAACATTAAAACAGGTACCTTAAGACTGACAAGGCAGACTCTTTATAGCAATTAAGATACCAACATGACAGATACCAGGCCCTGAAAGAAACAGAAATACTTTACTCTAAAATATATTCCTTTGAAATATTTTGAAATAGCCCTGCTAAACTGTCTCTTATGGGGAAAATCTACATTCTGTAGAGCAAGGGTCCCAAACTCCCTGGAATGCAGACAGGCATGGACTAGCAGTTTATGGCCTGTTAGGAACTAGGCCGCGTAGCAGGAGGTGAGTGAGGCTGACCTCTGCCTCCTGTCAGGTCAGTGGCAACATCAGATTCTCATAAGGGCAAGAAGCCTATTATGAACTGCGCATGTGAGGGATCTAAGCTGCACACTCCTTATGAGAATCGAACTAATGCCTGATGATCTGAGGTGGAATAGTTTCATTCTGAAACCATCCCCTAACCCATGGAAAAATGGTCTTCCATAAAACTGGTCCCGGTGCCAAAAAGTTGGGGACTGCTGCTGTAGAGAATCCCCTTCCGTTTCCAGGTCTTCCCTGATCCAGTCCAGGAGAGAAGTAATGAAGTGTCTGATAAGAGCTCTGAAGCCTGTTATCTACAAGCATCATCTGCATGATAAAACCTTGGTCTTTAGAAACCCTTCTTAACCCAGACATTCCTTTTTCTATTGATTTCAGGTCTTTAGATAATAACTCTCTTAACCAACTGCCAAGCAGAGAATCTATGACCTGGAAGCCCCTTTCGAGTTGTCCTACCTGCTGGACCAAATCAATATGCATCTTACATGTATTGAGTGATGTCTTACAGCTCTCTAATACATATAAAACCAACCTGTAGCCTGACTACCTTGGGCACACATACTCAGGATCTCCTGGGGCTGTGTCACAGGCCAAAGGTCACTCATATTTGGCTTAGAATAAATTTCTTTAAATATTTTACAGAGTTTAACTCTATTCATCAACATTCCTTAAAAAGGGAACAACTATGGAAAGAAGACTGTCAAATAGACAGCTTCATAAAAACATCTGCTGAGACAGAGCAGGGAGCTCTCTTACGGGCCTGCTGGGGTGCCCTCAAGCAAGGAAATAAAAGAAAATCTCAAGTCCTTTTGTTAGGAATAATGCTCAAAATCCTAAGGAAATTGAACACTCAAATAAAGGATTCTTAGCAAAGCAATTTTACTTCTGCGCAGGAGTGCCTCCTTGGCCAGTTGCCATGAGAGCACACCTGAACAAAGGGGCACAAGAGCCTTTATTCCTGACGCAAGTCCTGCCTCTGTACCCTTTCCCTATTGGCTGGGGTTGGGTCGTACAATCTAAACTAATCCCAGTTGGCTAAACGTTTGATTGTTTGATTTATTTTTTTATTTTTTAATTTATTTATTTATTTATTTTTTTGAGACGGAGTCTCGCTCTGTCGCCCAGGCTGGAGTGCAGTGGCCGGATCTCAGCTCACTGCAAGCTCCGCCTCCCGGGTTTACGCCATTCTCCTGCCTCAGCCTCCCAAGTAGCTGGGACTACAGGCGCCCACCACCTCACCCGGCTAGTTTTTTGTATTTTTTAGTAGAGACGGGGTTTCACCATATTAGCCAGGATGGTCTCGATCTCCTGACCTCGTGATCCGCCCGTCTCGGCCTCCCAAAGTGCTGGGATTACAGGCTTGAGCCACCGCGCCCGGCCAACGTTTGATTTTTTTAGATAGGCGGGCATGTGAAAGAAAGCGGAGAGGAAAGGGGAAGGCATGTCTGTAATGAGCTAGAAAGTTAGTTCTCTTTCCAAATAAGGAAAGGAATGTGAGCTGATATTGATAATGCTTGGTACTGTGGCATGCCTGGGCATCTAATAAAGGCAAAAAGGAAAAAAGGAGAAAAAGAAAAAAAAGGGAGGGGAGTACTATGAATTAAAGAATAAACGATTGATCAGGTTATTTGAAGAGAAACCTCATCATATCCCAAACTTCAAGGGAAATTCCAGGCACCTAGCTAGACTTGAGAAGTAAATAAGCCACCAGATTAGCAAGGAGGTAATAACAGCTTAAACCAATAGCCTCTCATGGAAGTCAGAGCCACAAGATGTGTTGCTCCCTATAGAAAATAAAGATAACATCTTGACAAAGGTCTCTGAGTTATTTTTCAGAAACTCAGACTCGGCCAAATGGAAAATGCTAACCACCATCACATAAGGGGGAACTGAAGACTGAACTCTGATTGACGTTCTTTGTTCTAAATTTCTTCCTGAGGGGCCTGGAGACAGTGACACCCACGTGCCAAACCTTAACATTCTTTTCTGCTGATCCCAAGTTTCTAGACAAATCCTTAGTTCCTTAACCAATCGCAAATCAAAGAATCTCTGAATTCTGCCACCCCACCTCAAGATATCCTGCCTTTTGGGACTAAACCAACATATAACCCCCACATATTGATGTATGATTTTGCCAGTAACTTCTGCTTTCCTAAAATATATCTCTACCTTAAAAAAATCTTGCTTGTATGCCACTGGGGAGGTCAAGTTTTAAGCAATAGCTATCCTATTCTACTTGCTTGGTGCCCTGCAAACAAACACCCTTATTTCTCTTGCTACAGATGTCAGTGTCGGTGTTTGGCTTTACTGCACTGGAGTGCACCCAGGTTCAGTTTAATAACACTGCAACTTAAGAAAAATAAACTGGGCCGGTGGCTCATGCCTGTAATCCCAGCACTTTGGGAGGCCGCGGGCAGATCACGAGGTCAAGAGAGCAAGACCAGAGACCATCCTGGCCAACATGGAGAAACCCTGTCTCTACTAAAAATACAAAAATTAGCTGGGAATGGTGGCGCATGTCGGTAGTCCCATCTACTCGGGAGGCTGAGGCAGGCGAATCACTTGAACCCGGGAGGCGGAGGTTGCAGTGAGCGGAGATCAAGCCACTGCACTCCAGCCTGGCGACAGAGCGAGAATCCTTCTCAAAAAAAAAAAAAGAAAAAGAAAAGAAAAAGAAACCTGTGAACTATCTATATAGGTGATCATTAAAACCACAAGGGTGGGTGAGACGAACCAGAGAGAGAGAGAAGAAGAAAGGACCTACGAAAAAGGCTTGAGGAACTCCAACAACACTTACTGGTCACACACAGAAGAACAGCCTAAAAGGAAAATAAGATTTGGCTAAGGAGGAAGAAATTTAGGATTATATTGTGTCACGGAGCCAAAGGATGAGTATATTCCAAAGAGAAAAGAAATGTCTATAGTGTCAAATGTGGCCAGGCACAGTTGTTCACATCTGCAATCTCAACACTTTGGGAGGTTGAGGCTAGAGGATCACTTGAGGCCTGGAGTTCAAAATCAGCCTGGGCCAACATAGCTACAAATTTAGAAAATTAGCAGGTGTGGTGGCACATGCCTGTAACCCCAGCTACTCAGGAGGCTGAGGTGGGAAGATTGCTTGAGCCTAAAAGTTGGAGGCTAGCCAAGATCACACAACTGCTACTGCAATCCAGCCTGGGTGACAGAGTGAGATCCTGTCTCTTAAAAAAAAAAAAAAAAAAAAGAAGGCCAGGAACAGTGGCTCACACTTGTAATCCCAGCACATTGGGAGGCCCAGGCAGGTGATCACCTGATCTCAGGAGTTTAAGACCAGCCTAGCCAACGTGGCAAAACCCTGTCTCTATTACAAATACAAACATCAGCCGAGCTTGGTGGTATGCACCTGTAGTCCCAGCTACTTGGGAGGCTGAGGTAGGAGGATCGCTTGAATCCGGGAGGCAGAGGTTTCAGTGAGCCGAGATCGCACCATTGCACTCCAGCAGCCTGGGTGATAGAGCAAGACTTCATCTCGAAAAAAAAAAAAAGTCAACTGTGACAGAATCAGCAGTTATGCTGAAAGTATTTTCACCCTCATAAGAACGTCCTAAAGGTGATTTTCTAAAGATGTTCCATATCATCTGATAAAACAGCATAGGTACCAGTTGAGCTTCACACAAAGGGGAACATACAGGTAATATGCTTTGTGTGTGGCTCTGTGTGTGTTTGCATGCATGCACACATGCATGTGTTTGTTGGAAATTGACCACTAAGTGAAATTTCAGATTGCCTTACCTTTCTAAAGCTAAATGTTGGCTTTATTTTATTTTATTTTTAAGAAACAGGGTCTTACTCTGTCATCCAGGCTAAACTGCAGGGCTCGAGTAATCCTCTCACCTTAGCCTCATGAGTAGCTAGGATTACAGGCCTGTGCCACCATGCCTGGCTAATTTTTTAACTTTTTGTACAGTTAAAAATGTACAGACTATGTACATTGTACTATGTTGCCCAGGCTAGTCTTGAACTCCTGGCCTCAAGCAATCCTCCTGCCTTGGCGTCTTAAAGTGCTGGGATTACAGGTGTGAGCTATCGTGCCCAACTGTCATTTTACTATTTCAAATTCTGTAACTATTAACATCTGAAATCTTAATAACTAAACACTGCTATTAAGTAACTGTTAATTACATTTATATCTTATTATTATATTAAGGAATAAGAATCTAGAAGAAAATACAACAAATTGTTAAACTCTGGGAATAGGACTGAGAGATGGGTTTTCTGAGTTACATGCTTTCATATAATAGTTGCATATTTTTTACAATAATCTTGCTTTACTGTTGTAATAAAAGATTTTAAAAACCTGAGGGTCACTGGGTACCTAAGAAAGAAACGTTAACTATAGAGATTAAATAATGATGGCATAGGATGGTTGGGGTTTTCTTTGTGGGAGGGTGGGAGAGAGAAGGAGGAGAAAAAAGCTAAAAATATCACTTAACATCCTCTGTCAATCTTTTCTCCAGTTCCTCACCTTTAACATTATCTCAGTAATCTAGACTAAGAACCTTAATTTTACATGCATTATCAACAACTCCTTTTTATCACTCATATTTAAGAATTCACCATATTCTATCAATTTTACCTCAAAACAATGCAGCCTTCTATTTTCTTTTTTATCCCTAGGATTATTATCTCAGTGATTTTCAAGCTTTTTAAAACAGCAGAATCCTTTTTTTCCCCTAAGAAATTTGACATAAAGTCAGTTAAAGTCACACCAAAGCTATTTTTAGAAATACAGTTTTTGGTAGAGCGCGGTGACTCACGCCTGTAATCCCAGCACTTTGGGAGGCCGAAGTGGGCGGATCACCTGAGGTCGGGAGTTTGAGATCAGCCTGACCAACATGGAGAAACCCTGTCTCTACTAAAAATACAAAATTAGCTGGGCGTGGTGGTGCATGCCTGTAATCCCAGATACCTGGGAAGCTGAGGCAGGAGAATTGTTTGAACCCGGCAGGAGGAGGTTGCCGTGAGCCAAGATTGCGCCACTGCACTCCAGTCTGGGCAGCAAGAGCAAAAAACTCCGTTGAAAAAAAAAGAAATACAGTTTTTATAGTAACTTTTACTTACTCTAATATCAGTAAGTGATGACAAGACAATTTTAAATACAAAGTTAGAAATTAAGAGTTAGGGATGAGAGTTAAAGCTTACATCAATCTACCACTTAGTTTACATTTATCTCTCTCACACATTATCTGATTCACGCACCTATACAGTTGCAAATGGTAACATTTTACATACTATTTTGATATTAAGCTAACTCTTCAGATAAACGTAGCAAGGGAACCTTGGCTCTATGGTCTATACAAAAATGGGTTATCTTGGCAAAAACAGCTGGCTCAAATGTGGAATTAAGCATCTTCAAATTTGATTGTGTAGTTCTTTTTTAACAAGTTTTTCACTGTTAAAAATATAATTTAGAAATGAAATTTGCATCAAACTTCAGAAGAACCCTTGAAGCAGCTCTACGTAGCACAATTCGGTACATACTGTTGCCTTACTTACCTCTTATCTGGGCTCTTACATTACCTCTCCCAGCTCCCAGTGTATCCTCACTTGTTTTCCTTACATGTAGCTGTCTGATTAATCTTGCTACAGCACAAATACTGTCTGCACAGACATGACTTAAGTCTGGTTCCTGGCACTTGAAGCTCTCTGTGATATGAACCCAATCCAATTTTCAAGTCTCTTCCTCATTCCCCACCCAAATTCCACACTACAGCAAAGGCACTGTTTTCCACTTCTGAAACAGATAGTTTTCAACCACACAGCCTGTTCTTATCAATCTTACATATCTGTCTGGAAGTCTCCTATCTTACTAACTCCACCTCAGAAAGTTACGCTCATCTTTTAGAGCTCAGCTCAAACCCCGTAACTCTGCTCAATGTTACTTGCACCTCTAAATATGCTAAGGAATTCTGAATTTCAAAATAGTTAATCACATGTACACTAAATTGTATGTTAAGAGGGATCACATCAATTTTTTTAGTACTGCGCGTGAAATCTATATAAAACCTGACTAATAAATGAGATGAATGTTTAAAACTACCCAGCGAGTGATGGCAATCTAAAACTGGATTATGGTGATGGTCACATAGCTCAATAAATGGACTCTATCACCAAATTGAGCACTTAAAATGGGTGAATTTTTACATACCTCAGTGAAATTGGTTTTTAAAAGCAAGAACACACAGAAAGTATAAAAGAGGTAACTAAGAACTAGGAGAAGCAGGGAAGGAGGTTTAATTATTTAATATGTACAGAGTTTCTGTTAGTGTAGTGTTATGATATTCACATTGGTTTTTGTCCAGGTTCTTGGCTTGTAACTCCCATAAAATGTTAGTATTTTGTTATGTTTTGTTACAATGTTGTTATAATGTTTTAATATAATGTTAAAACAAAGACAGTAACAGCCCTTTCCCAAAAGAAACCCCCTTCTTGCCTGGGGACTAGACTGCCATTGTAGAACTAACAAAGTAGGCACAAGATTAGAAATTATGGTTTAGGGGTCGTGCAGCTGGGGGCTACAAGATTCCGACCCTCCCTAAATTGCTAAGATCAGTGCTTGGGTATTTTGCAGACCCTGCACTTGATGGATCAGCTGGCACCTGGACCCAGATGGATAAACTGGCTCATTTGATCTTGTAGTCCCCACCCAGGAACTGATGCAGCACAAGAGGACAGCTTCAACTTCCCATTATTTCTTCTTGTGACCCAACCAATCAGTACTCTTGACTCACTGGCCTTCCCCAACCCACCAAATTACCCTTAAAAACTCTGACCTCCGAATGCTCGAGGAGACTGATTTGAGTAATAAGAAAACTCTGGTCTCCTGCAAAAAAAAAAAAAAAGGCACAACTGGATAATGATTTAAGGACACTAAACTATGCGTAACTTTGAAATTTAGGGATGAATGCAGGATTGTGCAGTGGGTACACAATACTATCAACTGAGTAAAAAGACAGAAAAAGAATCCAATGAGGTTTCTTAAAAATACTGGAAAAAAAATCTTCACCATCAGCTGACAATGATTGCTAATGATTGCTAATTTGTTAGGTTCTATATTAAGTAGGTTATCATTACATCGTTCCATACTGTAGGATTCTCAGTATTTTATATATGCAGAAAACAGAAGAACTTTCTAAGCCTTGGTCTGCTTCTCACTTAATAAATATCACAATAAATGAGGACTTCCAGTCTTCTCTCATGATAGATAAGAGGTGCTACCTACCCGAATAGTTACTGTGTGATTGGCAGATGGTCTCAAGAGAGGCAGCCGGATCCCACATTGAGGCATTCTTCTCATTTCCTCAATGGGAGTTCCAAGCCACTTCTTATCTGGAGAAAGGTGAGGCGGAACGTATTTAGGGATCTTCCTTTCTGTTCTTTGATGTTTGGTTTCGCATTGTTCTTTTCTAAGGTCAAGACAAATGTATTTAGTCACAAATTATTTGCTGTTTTAATTCCCTTAGATACACAAGCACAAAACTTACCCAGATGTTATTGTTTAAAGTATGCCATACTTGGTCACTCATTTCATTATGTTTTATATTTATAATCAACAGAAAAACTTATAAAGCTTATAAAACTCAAGAGCTTATTTTTAACAGTCTGTGGAAGAAAGTTCCAAACACATGTAAATCACCTTCTCAAAACAGAAATGAGTCATGGTTCACAGTATCATCTACACAGTAATCTTCAATGAAGTGAACTCACTATTGCATGCTGATTGCACTATCTCATGAAACTCAGATCACAGAAATCATGGATGGGATTTAAGATTCCATATGGGGTAATGGCAAAATATAAGCTTTGTAATATGATACACCTGGATTTAAATCCCAGCATTACCACTCAGAAGGCGCATGATTCCAGCGAATTCTCTAACCCAAACCTCAGTTTTCTCATTTAGTGAGTATAATACCATCTGTCTGCCTGTCACGGCATTAAACAGTGTAAAAAAAAAAAAAAAAAGTGTAATACACAATGGCCTACAAGAATGTCTGGCTGAAGAAACAGTAGCTACTATCAACCTAGTATTTTCATGTTCTAGTAATTCCCATAAATACCAAAAGGAAGCTCATGAAACTAAAAATCTGATTTCTAATACTCATTTCTTGTTTTCTGTTTCTAGCCTTTTTAGAGTTTAAACTTTGGAGTCTAGGTTTAAATTTCGCATAAGTAGTTACCAAGAAACAAAACCATTTTTTTGCTTTACTAGAAATCATAGCTTCGTTAAACTCCCTTACAAAACTATAAAGCATATTATGCTATTGGAGAGATATTCCTCACAGAAAATTACCTTCTGTCCTCTGCTTTGGGCAGTCTCATGAAATGATCTGTGATTTTAGAATCCTTTCTTCCATGTTGCTTGGAATTTCTGCATTCTACATTCAGGCTAGAAATATTTCCAGGTAGTTTAGCATTTAAATCATTCATTCCAGTGCGACTCTCTCCTCCTTCAAATTGGAAATGTAATCTAACTTCACCTCCCTTAGTAGAATACCGTTTCCTAAACTCAATGTCAGCGTCTCTTGCTTGGAACCTTGAAGGTTTATTTGTTGTTTGGGAGGAACTACCATCTTCTTGTTCATCAAAACCCGGACTTGTCTCCTCATCTGCTTCTGAGTCTTGACAACTATTTTTAGAATTATCCACATCCATCGGTGACTCGGGTTCACTTTCCTTCTCAAATGGAGGAGAATTTCCTAGGCAACTTTCTTGTCTACTCAATTTGTTGTCATTTTTTGGTCCAGTACCAACATCCTCAGAGCCAGCATCTGACAATGGACTCTCTGGCACGACGTCTATCTCCTCTTGCTGACAACTTGCACAGTCTTTCCCAGGATGGCAAGACTTGCTGCACTTCTGGTGGCTTCCGGCTTCTCTGGCCTGTTCATCTTCTGTAGTCTGCTTTGCATTTACAAGCTTTACCGTTGTGAGAAACTGTTGATTGTCTCTATTTTCTTCACTATCTGTGTCACTGTGATCATCATTTTGAGGTGACCGATCAATGTTAGCATTACTAAACTGCTCTGGTACCAGGGTTAGTGTCTGAGGCTCACTTTCCAAAAGCTGCTCCGTGTGTTTCCCTTCATTTTGCCACTTACACATTGCTGCAGTCTGATGCTGGTTCAAATACTGTGTACTTTTTTCAGTGGGTGACTTATCAAGACTTAGCTGAGAAACATTTTCTAATTTTTCTACATTATGTTGATAAAAGTTATCTTTTTGTACAGAACTCATCATGGATTCTATTCTCGTATTGTTGTTTTCTTTACTATCCAAACTACAAGAGAACAGAAAGAACTAAAAACAACTTATAATACAAAAAAGTCACTTATCCAATCATACCCCCAGTGTCACAGCAGTAATTAAACTCCCTTTAGTTACCTGAGCACACACGTCTTCCATGACTCCATGCCTTTGCATGTGCCCCAACGCCCTCCCTGCAGCTGCATATCTGGCAAACACTTGCCTTTCCTTCAAGTCATAAATGTCACTCACTTCTCTATGCAGTCTTACTTTAGGGACCAAAAGTAAAGTTGAACATTTGTTTCTTCTACACACTAACCACCACTGTGCCTTGCTCATACCTTTACTATTGCATCCATCACACTAGGCAGTAAGTATGTGTTTTTGTGTGTGTGGCCACTGCTACACTGTAAGTATCTTAAAGACACAAACTGGCCGGGCGCAGTGGCTCATGCCTGTAATCCCAGCACTTTGGGAGGCCGAGGCGGGTGGATCACGAGGTCAGGAGATCGAGACCATCCTGGCTAAACCTGGTGAAACCCTATCTCTACTGAAAATACAAAAAATTAGCCAGGCGTGGTGGCGGGCGCCTGTAGTCCCAGCTACTCGGGAGGCTGAGGCAGGAGAATGGCGTGAACCCAGGAGGCAGAGCTTGCAGTGAGTCGAGATCTCGCCACTGCACTCCAGCCTGGGCGACAGAGCGAGACTCCATCTCAAAAAAAAAAGACACAGACTATTCCTGTCTCATCTCGGTATTTCAAGTATACAGGACCGTCCCTGACACAAAGGACTCTCTAAAAAATTACTTTTAAGGTGTTTGAATTAACATAGATAAAGGAGAATAGAAAAGCATGAACAAAGAAAGAAAATACTAAAGCAACAAGATAAAACATCCATGTATTATTATTCATTTCTCCATATAGGAATGTCTCTATACCTTTCTGATTCCGCTGTCTTGATTCCTTTAGTGTCCATCCAACTGGTAATAGTCTTTTGTTTGAAAACTATAAAAAAAAAATGTATATTCATACATTCCTTCAAACAGAAAACATATACAGCATATTATACATGCAAGGAACTATGCTAGGTTCTACAGGTTAAACAAAAGATTAATAACTCAAGTATTTGCCCTCAAGTAATACCAGTGAGATAGGAACATAAATGTTAATACATATGACACAGGGTAGAAAATGAGTGGTGCCTAAGAGAGTTGGTATGGCCTAATGGATAACAGCATAGGCTATGGAATCAGAACATTTGCATTCAAATCCTGATTCTCCCATTAGCTTCCTAAGTTACTCTGTGAGGGGTCATTTCTCCGTATCTTAGATCCCTCATTTGTAAACGTGCAAAATAACTATCTCTCATGAGACAAGGCTTAATTTAAGTAAAAACAGTTTATATAAAGTGTTTAGGGCATTATCTGGTTTATGCTTAGTAAATGTTGATTCTTAATTATCATTATTATTAAAAGAGGTCCCGATAAAGGAATTAAGGTTATTTCCCAGGAAGACACTACTTCGGTGAATAGGAGAAATTGGGGCATAATCGGTAAGATTTCTTTGGAAAAGGTAAGGCTTGAATTATGCCTTGAAAAGTAAACATGCAGTCACATAAAAAGAAAATTATAAGCAAAGGCACCAATATCGGGGAAATATAAAGAACTTAAAAAGAAAGCAAAAGAAAATATGGTTGAAAAGTCAGCCAGGATCATATCATACAATAGAATCTTGAATGACCCACAAAGAGAAGTACAAAAAAATGTGTTGAAAGATATGATTCCTCTCATCTAGGAGGCTCACAGTCATGCATGACAGCCTGGAGGATAAATCTGAGGGGCAAGAGTGAAGAGCTTATTGCCAGAAACCAGGGAGAAAGCTACTAGTCCAGGTCAGTGGTTCCTAAACTATTTGGATCATCAGAAAGCCAGCCACACTGAATCAGAATCTATATGTGAGTAGGATGAAGGCATGAGGGGAGCTGGAATCTTTTTTTTTTTTTTTTTTCCAAAAGTGATTTTGATAATCCACTAGATTGAACAGTGACTGGCCAAGAACATAAACTAGTCCTTGTGAGAGTAGTAGAAGTGAGGAGAGTCATTACAGACTTCACAATAAGAGGGGAAGTTAAAAGTGACTTTAAGCTTTGGGCTTGAGAGACTTGAAAAATGATGACAGCCTTAAGTAGAAATATGGAATATAAGAGAATTGTGTTTAGGGAAAAAGCATGATTAGGTCGATTCTGCCTATACTAAATTTGAGATGCCAAAGAAGTAACTAGATAGAAAACAATATCACTACTTCTGGCTTCCTAGGGTTTCCTTCCCAACACACCAGCAGATAGTAGCAACAGTAGAATTGATAGCTCAGGAGAGGGAGATGCAATATAAATAAATACAAGCCACATTTTATATAATCATTAGAAGTAAGTATGCTGTCAAAATTTAATATATTGAATAGGGATTAAATGTACATCATATTTTAGTATCAGAAATAAAATCTTAAACATTTGCAAATGTTTAAGATTTGAGATACTCACTAAATTGAATGTAAGAATCTTAGCACACTAAGTCACAGGATCTTTCTTATTTACCTACCTCTCCTCAAACACCATATTGAGCAAAACAGATGCAGGCTCAAACAGACAAAAATCAATGGTTTATTTTTCATTGAGATAATGGCATAATCAAAATACATTTCAGATGGGGAGAATTTTATACCAGAAAAATATTCAATGCTATATAATCTTTACCTTCCACAAAATACTTATAATCCAACTAGTAAAAATCTTTGATTAGTGTTTCAAAAATAGTTTCTATCACAAAAAAGTAATCATGCATAGTGATTTCTTATTGTTAAACACCATTACTTCAATGATTTTATTTAGCATTTCTGCAGCAGACCAGGCTTCAGAGAAAAAATGAGCCTCAGTCAGAGGGAGTAAGAGGATAAACCATCTGATTCTGAAACTTTTTCTATAGTTCTGTATTCTCTATTTATTTTCTTTATATCAAATACAGCAAGTATAGTTTAGAAAATCCTCAAATTGGGCCGGGCACGGTGGCTCACGCCTGTAATCCCAACACTTTGGGAAGCCAAGATGGGCTGATCACGAGGTCAGGAGATCGAGACCATCCTGGCTAACACAGTGAAACCCCATCTCTACTAAAAATACAAAAAATTAGCTGGGCGTTGTGGCGGGCGCCAGTAGTCCCAGCTACTCGGGAGGCTGAGGCAGGAGAACGGTGTGAACCCGGGAGGCGGAGCTTGCAGTGAGCTGAGATCGTGCCACTGCACTCCAGCCTCGGAGACAGTGTGAGACTCCATCTTTAAAAAAAAAAAAAAAAAAAAAATCCTCAAATTACAAACCAGTAATATGCCAAAACATTCATTTTTTGAGTTGGTTTAGAAGTTAAAACATCTTTTTTCCATAAATATAAGGATTAATGTTAAGATGCAATGACTAGGTTCCTAAAACACACACGAAGCACATACTCCAGCGATAAGTCTACAGAACCTAAAGACTGCACACATCATTTCATGAAAAACCAGGAGTGTTCCAGTGATGGTGAGGAAGAGAGCTCTCTCCTGTAGCCCTGACCCTGAGAATGTGTTTTCTCTCCAGTTTCAGGTTTCCTGAAGCCTGAGGAAGGGATGAAGGAGGAAAAGCAAGAGGTGAGGAACCAGTATCTTCTGCTAATAAAACATTGATCAGTCCTTCTTAGGGCCTCAGAGAAAAGACTGCTTACTGCTCTTTGCAATATCACTACTTCTGGCTTCCTAAGGTTTCCTTCCCAACACACCACAGGACTGTGTCAGAGCTTTATCCCTCTTACTCCTGAAGCATAAAATGATGCTTTCCAGGTTTCCTGTGAATTTTAACTAGAAATAGTCACAACAAGGCAAAAAGAGTGGCAATAAGAAGTGATGAAGATACAAGATCTAGAGTCAGATCATCTTGGATTGAGATCTTTGTTCAGTCACCTACTAGTACCATCTTGGTCAAGTTGCTTCACTTTGTTAAGCCTTTATTTACTCACCCAGAAAATGAAGCTAACACCACCTACTTCTAAGGGTTATGTTGATCAATTAAAATGCAAAAATTAGAGAAAATATTGTGTTCAGTCTCACAAAACACTCAACAAATATGTTATCTCCCGACATTTCCACCCAGTCTTTTTTTTCCCCACTGAGATCAGTAATTCTTCAACTTTGACTTCACACCATTTACATTTATTCTCATCAGTAACATTACTCAGTAACCAGTGTATTTTAATCAGCAGGTCATTCAATTAACAGCTATAGATACAGCCAAAAGGCACAAAATGCAATAACATTCACCTACATTTCAAAGGCACGCTCCACTTTCACAAAAAGTCCATAGCAACACATCTGGATAAACCCTTTATCATCACAATGTGAATAACATCCTGAGTTCTGCCAATATGCAGGTTTGCAGATTTTTTTTTTTCTTTTTTCAGAAGTGGGGTCTCGCTATGCTGCTTAAGCTGGACTGGAACTCCTGGGCTCAAGTGATCCTCTTGCCTTAGCCTCCCAAGTAGCTGGGACTACAGGTGCATGTCACCATGCCCAGCAAAATTTGCGATTTCAGTCAATATAAGAAACGTGCCCAGGAGGATAAACAATGTAAAATTTAAAGATACTGAGTAAATATCCATTTCTCTACCCCACCTACTTGTCCTAAGATAATTATGTATAAAAATTTAAATACCAAGTTCCTAAAGGAATCCCAAAAATTCAAACAATGGGCTTTTGATACAAATATAGTCTTTGAACATTGTTAACTGGTGTCCTGTCCCAGGTATATAGAAAACATTTAAACACGTGAAATACAGCCCCAAGTATTCATTTGGTACCTCTTCTGCAGAAATCTAAAGATCCAACCAGTGAGGACTGACTGTCCTCACCCCTATTGCAACTAACTCCTCCTTCTTTACATGAAAATAAGGTTAATGAAACCACAAATTATCCAGTCACAGGGGCTGAAGTACACCTGAACAACACCTGAAGTTCACCTTCAGTTCCCTCTCCCCTATACCAAGTTCTCTGAAATCTACATCCTAAATTTTAAATCCATCCCTTTCGTATACCCTTTAAACACATCACTTATTAGACAACTGCCATGTTTCTTGCAACTAGTCTCCCTGTCTATAATCTTGACTATCCAGTGTTCTACAAACTACAAATGACCAGTCAATTTTCAATGAAATAACACAGACAATACAAGAATGCATCACACATAGTAAAGTTAAGTATTATTTCATGGAGCATTTATTTCAGTTGTAAATATGTCTTATTTGCCAGATTACATATATTTCTAACTCTGTGTACCAGATAAAATTTATGCTGTGGGTTGCAGTTAGAAAAGTCCAAAAGCCACTGTTTAAGCCATATTTTCTAAAATATTAACCAAATGGTATTCCCAAGCTTAAAAGTTTTTTAGTGGTTTCTCCATTAACCACAGAATAAGGTTGAAATTCCTTAAAATGGAACTTGAGTTTCTTCATAAGCTCCTGCCTGCCACTCAACCTCATCTGACACTCCTCTGTCATCTTATGCTCCAGTCTTACCAACTTTTGCATGTCTTATTCCCTCTGCGTGTATAATTCTTTCTCCTCCTGATTTATACAGCAAATCTTCCTCATCCTTCAATGCTCAGTGAAAGTCGGCTTGGTACTGCCCCTAAGTATGAAGACATCTAAGTGTACACTCTTCATCAGAGAACTGCCCGAGCTCTGCCCAGCCTCTTACACTGTTAACGAATGCATCCTTTTTGAAATGCTCTCCTTTGCCTGACACAACACAAGCCAGGCTTTCCTTCCACCTCTGCAGCCGCTTCTCTTCAGTCTACCCTTGAACTTTGGTGTTCCTAAGGCTTCTGCCCTAGGTCAACCTTTCCTTTCTCTACATGTTTATATGTTATCTATGCCCATAGCATCCATTATAATATTTATGCCAAGAACTCCCCAATCTACTTTTCCAGCACAGAAATATTTCTTCTCAAGCATCCTATTCTTTCATGAATCCATCCCCTTCCCTATTGCCAGCATCCAGGTCTAAGTTACAATTATTTCCAACCTAGATTAGCTCCTTAACTGAGTCTTGAGGCTCCACTTGAGTTCCTTTCCAATCCATTCTTTATTGTCCACACACCAGCCACACAGACTTTTCAACAAATAAGTCTAATCAAATCACTCCCCTCCTAAAAACCCTTGAGTAGCTTCTCAATGCCCTTAAATCTCAAAATCCTTAGCAATGTCTACATATCCAATTTGATTTGACTTTTTTGTACCACCCTGCAGCCTCATCTCTCACTCTCCTGCGTTCACTCTATGTATCAATTACACTTCTGTTTTTGTTTTGTTTTGTTTTTGTTTTTCTGAGGCGGAGTTTCGCTCTTGTTGCCCAGGCTGGAGTGCAATGGTGCCCTCTTGGCTCACTGCAACCTCCGCCTCCCGGGTTCCAGCGATTCTCCTGCCTCACCTGCCTCAGCCTCCCGAGTAGCTGGGATTACAGCCGCCCGCCACCACGCTCGGCTAATTTTTTTTGATTTTTAGTAGAGACGGGGTTTCACCACACTGGTAAGGCTGGTCTTGAGCTCCTGACCTCAGGTGATCCACCAACCCCCGTCTCCCAAAGTGCAGGGATTACAGGCGTAAACCACCGCGCCCGGCCTCAGTTGCACTCCTGAAACACTCACTTACTTCCTCCTCATCTAACTTCTACTCATTCTAAACTCCTCAGAATAAGCATCTCATCTTCTGGAGGACTATTTTCGATCCCATAAATTAGGTTAGGTAGAACAATCTGTCCTTCATGTATCAGAACATCCATTACCTTTTATTATACTAACTTTTGCTATTGTCTCTCTCTCCAGATAGATTTTAAGGTATGAAGGCAGAGGCCAAGCTTCTCTTGTTCAACACTGCATGCCAGGGACGGGTACAATGCCAGCTTAGACTAACAGCTCTGCACCCTGGGACCCAGAATCTGAACAAGTGAAGTTGTTTTCTTCCTATCTAGAGGCCAAAGGGCCCTACTGTTTCACATACACAACTACATCTCCTTGACGACTAAGGCAATTTCTCAATCAAACCTGAAGAAGCAAACAGGTGGTGGAGTCTCCTGCCATTTTCCGCCCCATGAGTGACTGCTCATCAGTTTCTCACAACAATAGCACTGGGAAAAATGCGGCCCCATTCACCCACTAGTGGCTTTGGTAGCTCAGCAAGTGGACCTCAGCATGATAATGCACACAAGACCAGAAAGGAGTGACTGGAGCCCCTGGGTCCTCAGACTGAGACCAGAAGGTTCCGGCCGAGGCGAAGAACAAATATTTTTATTTTCCCACGTACCAAGCGAGGTGGCGCTGCCTCTGTGCTGTCCCGCCCGCCCTGGGACGCAGGCTGGCGAGGACGGTGGGACCCTGAACTGCACGTGAGCGTCCTTGGGGTCGAGGACGCGCCTCTGCCTGCTGGGAAAGCTCCGGGCGTCCGAAGCAGCCGGCGAAGTTGGAGCGGCGCCCCAGCGGGGTCGCTTGGTGCAGGGTTCACAGCCGGGGCCCGCATTCATGCTGGGACCCGCAGCGCACTGTCCCCGGGCCGGCCCGGGCGGAGAGCCTCATTCACTAACCGTGAGAGGGATGGACTGCACCTCCTTCTCCGCGCCTCCCCGCACCATTCCCTCTCCGCTGCTTCCTGCTTCTGCAGTTGCTGACCGCGGGCCTCCAAAGTCAGGCCGTAAACAGTCTCCTGCAGTCCCTCTTCCACTGGCACCCCACCTGCCTCAGAATGCGCCGCTTTGATTCGTGATTCGTTCCCTTTCCCACCACCGGAAAGCTGCCGTCAGGCGCTTCCGGCTTCCGGGGCGCACACTGCCGCAAAGCGGAAGCGCGGCGCTTAGGGGGAACCGGCGCCCGGAAGGTCAGCGTGTGAAGGAGGCGCTAGCAACGCGGGGGTTACCCGCTGTTATTGAGGAGCAACGGCCCAGCGGACCACCCAGACTCGAGAAAGCGGCGGGAACCACTCGGTTTGCTGAGATACCATGGAAGGAGGCGGGGGAAGCGGCAACAAAACCACAGGGGGATTGGCCGGCTTTTTCGGAGCCGGCGGAGCAGGTTACTCGCACGCGGATTTGGCTGGCGTCCCGCGTAAGTATGGGGCCTACCTTGCGATTATTTCTGACTGGTTCTTGCGTCTTCACTAAAGTTGCGCGTCCCATGTTTTATGTTTTTTTTCCTTTCTGGCATTTACAAGCTTCAGCACTAGTGGTGGGGTTAGTGTGTCTGCATGGCTGCTCTTTCAATATCGAAAGGCCTTAAAAAGGGCCACGGATCTCCCGGAGAAGCTGTCCGTGATTGACCTGGACTCGCGAGATGATGCATGTTTTCTTAGGTTTATATCCAAGCCTCGTGTCTTTTGTGTGGTGGGCCGTGTGATTGGCCCTTGATTAAGAGTAGAGCCCAGCTTTGGGAGTAAATGTATTCCAAATAGCAAGCCGTAGTTAACTTTTTAGTACACAGCGACGTATTCCGAACCCCCAAGTAGCCGTTAGGGCAGAACATTCAGTAGTATTGCATGTAAGTGAGAAATAAGTATGACTTGGGACAGGCTAGGAAACCATTTCTAGGAGCTAGGAAGTAAGCTGAACTTTAAAGGTGATATATATGCCACGTAAGAATTATAGGAAAGGAAATAAGCAACAACATAAAGGATACAGAGGCATAAATTCCTTGCCTTTGCCTCTCCTCAGTCTTGCGAATATGTATTCCAGAACTTTGGTACTTTGTAACTGTGGTTATTCAACTGGATAAATAGAACTTGGACCTAAAGATAGGCAGTTGGTCGTGGATAAAGCCTTTACGAAAGTACTTTCTTTTTAGAGAATCCTTGTAATATTTTTCTAGGTGTTTTATATTAAAGGACAGCAACAACAAAATATGTTCAGACTGACTAGCGCAAAAAAAATATAAAAGAAAAGACCTTTCATATCCCTGGTGTCACCTTTGTCAAAAAACGGAATCTACAACACAAGGTGTTCTGTTCTGTTCTGTTGTTTTTTTCTGTTTTTAGAGTCAGGACCTCGTTCTGTCACCCATGCTGGGGTGCTGTGGCATGATTATAGTTCACTGAAGCCTCGCACGTCTGAGCTGAAACAATCCTCCCCTTTAAGCCTCCTAAGTAGCTGGGACTCTAGACACGTGCCGCCACGCCTGGCTAATTTTTTTTTTTTTTTTTTAACTTATTATGGAGATGGGATCTCCCTGTGTTACCCAGGCTGGTCTCAGACTCTTGAGCTCAAGCCATTCTCCTGTCTCGGCCTCCCAAAGTGCTGGGGTTCCTAGGCCTGAGCTACCACTCTACCTGTTTAGAACACAGTTTCATATTAATCTTAATATCTCTGAGTTTCAGAGCACAAATGGCATACGCTTCCTTAATGTGACAATATTGTTACCTTAATATGATTAAGATTTGAAGGTAAATTGAGGGACCAGGGAATGAACACCATTTACTAAACTTTTACAGTGTGCTAGCTAGTTTTCTGGGGGCAGGACTATAGTGGTTTTTTTGTGTTTTTTTGTTTTGTTTTGTTTTGAAAAGACTCTTGCACTCACAGAGCTTACATAATACTGAGGTAAGCCAACAAACATAAATTAAAACATTACAGTTAGTGGTAAGGGCTGTAAACGGGAATAAAGCAGAGTCATGAGATTGTGATGGAAGCAGGATGCCATTTTAGAACGGGTTAGGGAAAACGTCTTAAGGGAGTTGACATTTGAGCTGTGACCCAAATATAGTACAAATGCTTGGGAGGCAAGTATCCAGGAAATTAGCTAGTGCAAATGTCCTGAAACAAAACAAATTTGGTATGTTTAAGGAACAACTCTTAGGCCACTCTGTCTTCATAGTTACAAGGGAGTTGAATCAGCTGACGATTGTGAAATCAGAGAGGTAGGGAATGACAGCTAATGTAGGGTTTTGTAGGTTATGGTAAGGAGTTTGGATTTTCTTAAGAAAAATCACTGTAGTTGCTATGTAGACTGTGAGTTGAAGGGGCAAGAGAAAGCAAGGAGTTAGGTAGGAAGTTGTTGCTGTGAGATATGATGGTTGGACTAGGATGGTAGCAATAGAGATAAGTAACAATTCAAAATAGGTGATGAAAATAGAATAAACAGGACTTATAATTGATGAAAAGATCAGAGGCATAGGTGATACATATATTTGTGAATTAACTGCTGAAATACAGAAGAATCCAAAGATTGATAGGTTTTACTGTTTTCAGTGTTAGTGAATTCAGGTCTGGCCCTCTGAAAGTTTGTATTTTCTTTTGCACAGACCCACATACCTATGGTAATGACCCAAGGATTCTCACCCTTGCCACAGTAAATCAATCCTTAATAGTAATATGTGAAGGAACTGCCTTGAAATACTTACATACAACATGTACATAGGCAGAAAACCCAACCCAACCACTCTTTTCCCCATGGAATTGATTAGTCTTTTCTCAGTCTTATTTTGCAATTTACATAGTCACCAAGCATTCTTGTAGTAAATTGAAAGAAATTAACTATAAATGGCCTAGGCTACACTTCCTGTAAGTTCAGTAATCTGATCTATGACACTGCAAATATCTTACCTGGTGTAAAAGCCTGAGCCACCAGTGGAAAACCTGGTTTGGGATTGAGGGTCTGAGGATATCCTGAGTCAGCCCCCAAACTGACAGGGAGGATAAAATGGGAAAAAATTTTCGCCTTCAGTGAGCCTATAAAAATTGCAAACACATGTAACAATCAGGAGCTGGATTAACTCTAACCGAATTAACTTAAAGAATGTTGTTGCAATGTGACATTTTGTTTTCTCTCTAGTAACTGGTATGAACCCTCTGTCTCCTTATTTAAATGTGGATCCGCGATACCTCGTGCAGGTAAGATTAAGATTTTACTAGTTTGGTGCATTATTTTACCATTTAAAAAAAAAACGCCAAGTGCTATGCTGACTTGAACTATGACATGCACTTCTGGAGGCAGTAAGTTTCTGGTCTCCATTTACCCTTTTTTCCTCACAAACACTAGGAGCTTGGCCTGCATCTCTCTGAAATCAGTTAACTACCTTCAAAGGCTTATTTTTTTAAAACCAGAGCAGAATTAATTTTTGAAAGCACCCCAATAAAGTATTGGGGTACCTAATTACAAAGTGTGTGGGGTTTTTTTGTTGTTGTTGTTTGTTCATTTGTTTTGAGATGGAGTTTTGCTTTTGTCCTCCGGGCTAGAGTGCAGTAGCGCGATCTCTGCTCACTGCAACCTCAGCCTCCCAAATTCAGGCCATCCTCCTGCCTCAGCCACCCGAGTAGCTGGGACTACAGGTGCCCACCACAGTGCCTGGATAATTTTTGTATTTTCAATAGAGACGGGGTTTCCCCATGTTGGCCGGGCTCCCAAAGTGCTGGGATTACAGACAAAGTGTGTTTTAAAGCTCAGTTTACAATATCAGGGTTCTTTTGACTAAGCATCAAAAGTTCCAAAGAGTATCTTTTTAAATCCAAGATTTATTTCCTAATATATCTTGGATATATTAGGAAAGCAAGGTTGATTTAACACCTGAAAATTAATGTATTGTGCCATATCAATTTATAATAAAGCAATCAAGGAAAGAATATAGACCACATGCTCATCTCAGTAGATTCACAAAAATCATTTGACAACATCCAACACCCCCATTTATGATTATAAAAACAAACTAGGCTGGGCGCAGTGATTCACACCTGTAATCCCAGCACTTTGGGAAGTGAGGCGGGCGGATCACTTGAGGCCAGGAGTTTGAGACCAGCCTGGCCTACATAATGAAACCCTGTTTCTACTAAAAATACAAAAATTAGCCAGGCGTGGTGGTGTCTACCTGTAATCCCAGCTGCTTTAGAGACTGAGGCACGAGAATCACTTGAACTCTGGAGACAAAACTTGCAGTGAGCTGAGATCACGCCACTACACTCCAGCCTGGGCAACAGAGTGAGACCTTATCTCTAAATTAATAAATAAAACTAGACACAGAAGGGGCTTCAGCCTTATAAATGGCATCTAGAGAATATCCAAAGCTAACATAATTTAATAGTGAAAGACTGAATACCTTCTCCCTAAGATCAAGAACAAAGTAAGTATGTTTACTCTCATTTATATTCAGCATTGTCTGACCAGGGCAATTAGTCAAGAACATGAAATGACATTCAAGTTGAAAAAGAAGTTAAACTATCTGTTTACCAATGACATGATCTTATCTATAGAAAATCACAAGGGAAATCAGAAAAATCTATTAAAACTAATGATCGAGTTCAGCAAGTTGCAGAATACAAGTTCAATATACATAAATATGTTTCTAGACAGTCACAGTGAACACTACAAAAGTGAAATTACAAAAAACAGTTCATTACCAATAACATTAAAAAGCAAATACTTAGAAATAAATGGACCAGGTGCAAAACATATTCTGAAAACTATAAAACATTATTGAAATTAAGTGGAAAGACACATGCTATGGTCCTGAAAATTTTAATATTAACATGACAGTACTCACCAAATTAACCAACAGATTTAGTGCAGTGCCTGTCAAAATCCCAGCTGGCTTTTTTTGCAGAAATTGACAAGCTTTTATCCTAAACTTCGTACGGAAATTCAGGGGACATTGAATGACCAATGACTTTGAGAAAATAAATTGGAGGACTTGAACTTGTCAATTTCAAAACTTTCTACAGAACCACATCATGATAGTAACATAAGAATAAATCCATAGATTAATGAAATACAGAGTCCAGAAGAAAGGCGTTGCTTTTCAACAAGGATGCCAAGATAAGTCAGGGGAGATGTTAGGACAACTGGAACCCATATGCATAAGAATGAAGTTGAACCCTAACCCTGCACCATATACAAAATGTTACCACCAAGTGAATTAAAGACTTAAATGTAAACTAAAGCTGTCAAACTCTTAGAAGAAATCATAGGCACAAGTAGTTGTGACTTTGGATTAGACAGTGATTTCTTAGATGTGACACCAAAAGCACAAGTGATAAAAAGAATGTTGACAGATTGTATTTAATCAAAATTTTAAAATTTTGTGATTCAGACAATACCAACAAGAATGGAGGCCGGGTGCAGTGGCTCACACCTGTAATGCCAGCACTTTGGGAGGCCGAGGCGGGTGGGTCAACTGAGGTCAGGAGTTGAGACCAGCCTGGTCAACATGGTGAAACCCCGTCTCTACTAAAAAATACAAAAATTAACCAGGCGCAGTGCTGGGCGCCTGTAATCCCAGCTACTTGGGAGGCTGAGGCAGGAGAATTACTTGAACCTGGGAGGCAGAGGTTGCAATGAGCCGAGATCACGCCACCACACTTTAGCCTGGGCAAGAGAGTGTAAGACTCTGCCTCAAAAAAAAAAAAAAAAAAAAAAAAAGAATGGAAAAAGGCCTGGTGCAGTGGCTCACACCTATGATCCCAACACTTTTGAGAGGCTGTGGCGGGAGGATCACTTGAGCCCAAGAGTTTAAGACCTGCCTGGGCAACATAAGAAGATCCCATCTCTGCAAAAAAATCACAAAAATTAGCGGGGTGTGGTGGTGTGCACCTGTAGTCCCAGCTACTAGGGAGGCTAAGGTGGGAGGATCACTTGAGTCCAGCAGGTCAAGTCTCAGTGAGCGTAATCAAGCCACTTAACTCCAGCCTTGGTGACAGATGGAGACCTTGTCTCAAAAGGAAAAAAAAAAATTGGGAAAAGACAATCCACAGATTGAGAGAAAATATTTGTGTATTATGTATCTGATAAGGAATTTATATCTAGAATATTTAATTTTTTTAACTCTTAAAACATTAGTAAAAAATAATTACAAAATGGGCAAAGGATTTGATTAGACGTTTATGAAGATGTAGAGATGTCTAATAGTGACATGAAAGCTGATCAGTAACATTAATTAGAGAAATAAAACCACAATGAGATACCTCTTTACACCCATGGGGATCAGTACAATCAAAAAGAAAATAATACATATTGTTGAGGATGTAGGGAAATTGGGTTTCTGTACATTGCTGGTGGAAACGTAAAATGATACAGCTGCTTTTGGAAAAGTCTGGCAGTTTCTTAAAGTGTTAAAAATAGAGTTACCTTATGACTGACAATTTCACTTACGTGTACTCCATACTCAAGAGAATTGAAAACCTCTGCGCACATAAGTTGTGAGCGAGTGTTCCTAGTAGCATTATTCATAATCAAAAAATGGAAACAAACCAAATGTTTATCCACTGATGAATGGATAAAAAAATGTGGCATATCCATACAATGGAATATTATTTGGCAATAAAGAAGTATTAAATTATGCTACAATATAAATGAACCTTTAAAACTTCCTAAATGAAAGAAGCCAGTCACAAGAGACCACATATTGTGTGGTTCCATTTATATGGAATGTCCACAATAGGCAAATATATGGACAAGAAAGTAGATTAGTAGCTGCCAAGGGTTGGGAGTAAATGGGCAGTGACTGCTAATGGGTATGTGATTTTTTCGGGGGGTGATGAAGATGCTTTAAAATTGATTGTAGTCTTGGTTGCATGACTCTGAATATACTAAAAACCACTGAATTGTACACTCAGTAAGTGAATTATATGGTGCATGAGATACATATCAGTAACTGTTTTCTCTCTCTTTTTCCTAAAAGACAAAGTCTCACTCTGTCTCCCAGGCTGGAGTTGCAGCAGCAGCATCATAGCTCACTGTAACCTCAAGCATAGCTTACTGTAACCTCAAACTCCTAGGCTCAAGCAGTCCTTCCACCTCATCCTCCCAGGTAGCTAGGGCTGCAGGTGAACACCACCACGCCTGGCTAATTCTTTTTTTCACATTCTTTGTAGAGATGATGTGATCTGGCTTGTTTGCCCACGCTGGTCTCTAACTCCTGGCCTCAAGTGATCCTCCTGTCTTGGCCTCCCAAAGTGCTGGAATTACAGGCGTGAGCCACCATGCCTGGCTTTTTTTTTATTATTATTTATTTAAGAGTTATGGTTAGAACCTTTTATTTCAGAGTTGAATCACTAACAGCATCTGACAGCGGCTGCATTTCTTGTTTGTGTTAAGTGTTCAAATTGAAGCAAGTTGATGATTTGGACCTTGCCAGTTTAAAGCTTCATTATTTTTGAAATGTTTTCAAATGTTATATTTTAACATTGGGTGTTCATTGATTTTTTTGCTTTAAAAGTGCCCCTTTGTCAATTTACTCAAAATTTCAAAACTAGTTACATGTATTTTGCTTTAATGTTGAATCTACACTTAGAGGTTGTACTCTAGATCTAGTTACAAATTCAGTATCATTGTGGCCCTGCATTGCTAGGTGGGGCTTATTAAGGTTAGACATAAAATAGTTAGTATCCCCGCAAAAAACTTGTGAATTCATTCTTCATCATGAACGTTTATCTTCCATTGGAATTCTAGAGGGACTTCAGACTTTAAAAAAGTGTTTTGTAAACCTCATCTGTTATTGGAAATAATTAAGGAAACCTTACATTTAAAGATACCTTAATAGAAATTACATTTTATCAAACTTTTGTTTACACTTTTGAAGGTTAGAGACATCTTAAATAAAATAGTACCTTCAACTCACCATGTCGTGACTTTGGCAACAGCTTTTTTTTTTTTCTTGTTTAATAATAGACACAGGGTCTCACTATGTTGTCCAGGCTGGTCTTGAACTCCTGGGCTCAAGCAGTCCTCCCACCTTAGCCTCCCAAAGTGCTGGCATTACAAGCATGAGCCACTGTGCCTAACCAACTTTTATCTGATGCAGTACTGTAGTTTCTCTTACTAATGCTTTTGTATCATCGCTACTCTTAACATCCTCATTAATTGTATCAAGTAATAAATTTTTTTGTTAGCCCAGGTGAACATCTGGTACAAAAATAAGGAAAATTTAAATATTTTTGACATCCATATTGTTAAACACACAAAATTATAAATTAAAAATATTTTTTCTTTTTTTTCTTTTTCTCTAGCAAGTACATTGATACCCATTCTTGGATTTATCTTCTGTGTTAACAAACTCTGGTACTTAGGGGATTTTAGTAATACTAGCGTCCTGGAGTGTCAGCAGGACAGGTTTAACAGGAGCTTTTTAGTAAATCTTCCTTACATTCAACATATTAATATACTTCGATAACAACCTTGTTTGTGTGTTGGACATTTGCTTGCAACCCTTGTTATGTTTTTATTTTTCAGTTGCTGCTAGCAGGAGAATGAGTTGGTGACATGCAGTTGTGCTTGCTTGATAATGTTCATCACAGCCTTTTTTTTTTTTAAGTTTTTTGTTTATTTCATTTATTTATTTATTTATTTATTTATTTTTTGGAGATAGAGTCTTGCTCTGTCACGCAGGCTGGAGTGCAGTGGCGTGATCTCGGCCTCCGCTCCCCGAATTCAAGCAGTTCTCCTCCCTCAGCCTCCCAAGTAGCTGGGACTACAGGTGCACACTGCCACACCCAGCTAATTTTTTGTGTTTTAGTAGACGGGGTTTCACTGTGTTGCCCAGGCTGACCTCAAACTCCTGAGCTCCGGCAGTCCACCCACCTCGGCCTCCCAAAGTGCTGAGATTACAGGTGGGAGGCACCACTCCTGGCCAAGTTTTCTGTTCTTCTTTTTTTTTTTTTTTGAGACGGAGTCTCGCTCTGTCACCCAGGCTGGAGTGCAGTGGCCCCGGATCTCAGCTCACTGCAAGCTCCGCCTCCCGGGTTCACGCCATTCTCCTGCCTCAGCCTCCCGAGTAGCTGGGACTACAGGCGCCTGCCACCTCGCCCGGCTAAGTTTTTGTATTTTTAGTAGAGACGGGGTTTCACTGTATTACCCAGGATGGTCTCGATCTCCTGACCTCGTGATCCGCCCGTCTCGGCCTCCCAAAGTGCTGGGATTACAGGCTTGAGCCACCGCGCCCGGCCGTTTTCTGTTCTTAATTAGTGATCTGTTTCTGGATTGAAGGATGTATATTTTTTTTTTCTTCTCAGGAACCATGGCCTGAGAATAAAGGATAATTAGTTACCGCATTGAATCTAGCATTTCAAAAAATTCAAACAAAAAGCACAGTTTAATACTAAGTCATTAATTTAAAAGTTGAAGTACCCAAAATTTATAAAACTCTATACAATTATACTATGACATGGGATCTATTCAGTTTTTATTATTGCCCAGCAGACCGTTCTTATGTGATGAGAGTGGATGTGCTTGTTTACTTTTGCAATTTTTGGTGAGGATGTGTACACATGCCGGAAAGAAAAAACCAAGGCAGAACCACAGTTTTCTGATCAGGAATACACTTTTCGGAATCAACGTTCAGTATTTGCCACAAGGATGTAGGAGAATGTTAATTGTCAGTGGTCTTTACTATGTTAAATGTAACACACTATGTGTCTTTTTGCCAAGAGTGTGACCTAGCCATTGGTGGCTTATTTTAACCATCTTTGCATGGAAAGCTTGCCAAAAATGAGTGTGTTTGTGTGTTTTTTTTTTTAATCCAGCAAGGTGATAGAATTTTGTTTGTTTTTTCAAGTGTGTTTTTCATAAAGGTGTATTGACTCTTCAAAATTGGTAACCATATTTTGCTCTTAAGAGTGTCATTTCTCAATCTTAGTATTTTGGGTGACCTTCCAGGGGTTCATGCCACAGTTTGTGTATACAATTACTAGAAAGAGGGTCTGTAGCTTTCTAAGAGTATCAAAGGAATATATACTCCTTAAACAGATAAGAATTCTTAAAGGGGGTCATTTGCCCTTGCATAATTGATCCAAACTGTTGTACTTTATTAGTTTTTGCTCATTTTTTTGAACATTTGGCTTTATACATGGAAAGATGCACAATAAATAGCTGCTACAGAATGAAAGTTGTTTGCTTCTTCCAGACTGCTTGTCTATTCTATTCTTCTAATAGCTTTCAGTATTCCTTTCTCTAGAGCTGTCCTTTCTAAACTTAACTTTTGCACAAATCTATCAGATTTAAGTTATGAAGGAAACAGTCTTTAATGAGACTCCCTTCTGAGAACTGTGTTTCCTATTTCATTTCACTTTGATTTAGGTATTACTGTTGCAGAAAGTTTTATTTTTATTTAAGTATAGGTTTGAGTTAATTTAAGGTTTACTCTCTGTGAAAAACTACTTTGAAATGTTAAAAAAGATGACTTTACAAGATTTGTATCTTGAGGGACCCTCAGCTTGGTTTTCATTATTATCCTTTTAGGATACAGATGAGTTTATTTTACCTACTGGAGCTAATAAAACCCGGGGCAGATTTGAGCTGGCCTTCTTTACGATCGGAGGATGTTGCATGACAGGTGAGTGTTACATACTTTTTTCTCAAGTGTGCTCTTCAAGTAGTTGAGGGTGCTTAAAATCAAAAGCAGTTAGAATGTTGGTTTCAGGGTTTTTTTTTAATATTTACATTTGTCTTTTTCTATTAAATGAAAAAGAATCAGAAGTGTAGCTATGCAGTTTTGAGTTTCTTTGTTTGTTTTTTAATGTAAAGCTCTCTTATCTGGGTGAATTGTTATGATTTACCAGGGGCTGCGTTTGGGGCAATGAATGGTCTTCGGCTAGGATTGAAGGAAACCCAGAACATGGCCTGGTCCAAACCAAGAAATGTACAGTAAGTCTCATGTAACCATCTGATGTAGTGATACTTGAATATTAAGCTCTGTTTTGTTGGTTTGATGAGTACACCCTTGATATTATAGATGGTTAGCATAGTTATGTGATTTTTTGTCTTTGTTTTTTAATCCTACTCAAAAGCAACTAAGGAATCGGATTACTGACTCTAAGCTTTTAAAAAGGAGTGATTTTTTGAATCCGTGTCCCTCAGTCAGCTAGTGCTATGCCAGCCTGGCTTCTCAGCTGCACCTGTCACATTCTCCAACCCTGTGTGACATGCTTTTCAAACTGTTGAATTGCCGATGGGAATTTTGCATTGTTTGGGGGCATGCAGATCCATAGGAAATGGTAATGAAGACATAAACAGCTCATGAGCGTGATGGCTCAAGCTGCCATCATTTGACTTGAACTTCTTACTGTCTTGACTTTACGTTTCCGAAATGATGAGCCAGATAAATTTTAAATAAAACTTCTAGAATTAGAGTTAATTCCAAAAGGATAAGACACAGTTTTCTGTTAGAACTTGAAGTTGCAGAAAAGGGAAAGTACAGCTAAAAGGATTGGAAAGTATGTTTTCACCCTTCTTAAGAAGTAAACATGGCCAGTCCCTCCTGATATTCCTTAAACAATATGTTTAGTTTTGCCTATTTTTATGCTTCATATATGCTTCATAAGTATGTATTATTCGATGGCTACTGTTTTTGTTTTAGGATGCTTTAAACTCCATCTTCCTTTCATATTGTTCAGCCAGCAGATGGCACCAGATGTGCTAGAACTAGACCATGGGAAACTGGAACGCCTGTTACATTGTGGGGTTTTTTGAGAGACACAGCCTTGCTGTGTTGCCCAGGCTGGCGTGCAGTGCCGCCGTCACAGCTCACTGTAGCCTTGACCTCCTGGGCTCAAGTGATCCTCCCACCTCAGCCTCCCAAGTGACTGGGACTACAGGCACGTGCCACTGTACCCAGTTAATATTTTAATTTTTTGTAGTGACGTGGTCTCACTGTGTTGCTCAGGCTGTTCTCAAACTCCTGAACTCAGGTGATCCTCCTGCCTCAGCCTTCCAGAGTACTGGGATTATAGACGTGAGCCACTGCGCCTAGCCCTGTTTTTTATATTCCTGTTAACTGTGTGGATCTCTGTCCATGCTTTGCTAGCCTAGATCCTTCAGTATTTTTATTACTTGTCCTTTGCTTCAATAATATTTTTAACTTTTTGTATTATGGGGAATTTTGAATATATAAAAGTAGACAAAAGACATAGCATAGTGAACACATGGACCATAACCCATCCTCAACCATGGCCAGTTCTATCCCATCTCCTTCTCCTCTCCCATCTTGTTTTGAGACAAAAATCCCAATATCATATTAAATACAAATTTGGAAGTAGATCTAGAAAAGACAACTTAATTCCTTTCTTAAAACGAGTTATTAAAATGCTTGTTAAAAATGAAAAAATAATGGCTGAACCAAAAATACGTTAGTAAATATGTAACATAATTAGAAACAATGTACTTCTGTTTGTAAACTTGACTGATTTTTTAAAACAACCTTTCAGAAGCAATACAAATTTTTGTTTCTGTAGAATATTAATTAAATGAGTTGTTTAATAATTAAACTGAATGAGTTCCCTCACTCTTTGTTACTGTATTTCCATAATTTCCAGCAGTAGTCAGCCATCTGGACAGAACCATTCCTGGAATGGTGTTACACTGCTGGGAGAGGAATGTCTTCTCTTCATCCGGTTGCCTCCATCACTGTTCTGGTGGTGTCTGGCACTGGTGCAAGGCAGGACTGTGCTTCCTTGAGCGTGTGCTGAGCATTCACCTTGGCTGCTTGGTTCTAGTCTGGGAGCAGACCCAGGGTGCTTTCCCCGTGTATCCCAGTTAGATGGCTGATTCCTTCTCTTTAATTCTACTTTATATTCTGTACTTTGATATTCTTTACTTTGTAACATTCTAAGCATATGTTCCCCTTCCAAAAAGAACCTTTTAGAAGCTAGCTCATCATAGTTAACAGTGGCATTTTTTACATGGATTAGTTTCTGTAAACCTCTAAAATACATTCCAGGCTGTCATTCAAAGCCTTACATATATTTAATGTGTATTCATTATATTATACATTTAATAATAAGAGTTTTCCTCAGTTATTGCCCAAAGTCTTGAAAGTTTTAACCTAATTTTCACTTATGTAGAGTAAAAACTATCCTTACTGAAATCTGAGATATTAAGATATATTTTAGAATTTAAAAAATTTTGAGCCTTGGGTCTAGAAATGTTAAATAGCTATTATTATTGTTTTTAAAGGTTACTAGAGAAATAATGATTCTAAATACAGATTCTTTCTCTTTCTGCCCTGGTAGGATTTTGAATATGGTGACTAGGCAAGGGGCACTTTGGGCTAATACTCTAGGTTCTCTGGGTAAGTAGAGATCTCGTGTGATAAATTGTTAAAGAAAGAATGTACAAATATCATGAACAATTTAATCAGCCGATATTCTGGTCCTAGGATATGAGACAATTATGTTTAAATCCATTCCATTGCATAATATAGATACTACTTAGGGAAAGACCATGAACTAACTTATGAAATAATCTCAGGTGCTGATACCATTCTGAATACCATTTCTGAATTTTTAAAATCTTTTGAACACTGCACACTCTCCTTTCCAAGCACAGCACCCAATCATGTTTAAATGAAATCCAGATAATTTAGGTCCAAAGTAAAGAGCTTGGTATATTAGGCAAGGTTCAAGGTCCTGTAGTGATACAAGATACATTAATCCGGCCCTCTTGCTATCTTTTCTTAATAGCCTGTTCATTAGTCTGTTTACCTGAGTAGATTCCAAGCACCTAATTGCCAGAATTGGAATAGGTTCTTTGTAGATAATGAAAACGTTTGCAGTTCTAGGCAAAAGGTAATTTGGTAGTGCTTAATTAGAGCCTAATGCTTTCATACCGTATTGTTTATGAATGATTGATCACTTGGAATCTATCTCTTATGGCTTAGGTCCTGACATCCACAATTTTCATACTTTATGAACTTAGTTGGATCTCAATTTAAATTGTGGCAGATTAAGGAGGGGAAGACATAGAAAATTCATTGATACCATAGAAAAAATGTTTATTATGGCAGAGTAAGGTCCTACCTTGTCACAGAATTTGGAAGCAGTATATCTTCACACTATAAAGCCAGTTTTCACATTTTGGATCCTAAGAGATGGCTGCATTCATATGTTTCTGATGTCTGCATTCCTCCCACCCTACTACTGAGTCACCCCCCTCTGTTTCTTTTGATTACTTGTATACCTAGTCAGCCCAGCCATCCTTGTCTGCCTAGGACTTTCAGAGAAAAGTCCAAGAAATGTTCCAATAACCTCCGTCACCACCCCCCCCCCGCCCGCCCTGCAGTCCTGGACAAACTAGGATGACTGGTCACCGTCTGCATACCCATTGTGGTATGATCAATAACAGTGTTCTGCTCATGATCAGTTTCAGTTAAGTAAGCTGAAGAGGAAGATGAGCTTTCATAGATGTATAAAAATACTGCAGTAGAGGAGTTGTAAGGCTGAGCACGGTGTATTGTTGCAAGGGTCAAATGTAGCTATAATTTTGAGAAAGAGCTTAAAAGTTTAACATACTCATTCCAGATAGGAATCTGTAAGAGCATAGAAGGATGGCTTGGGGGAAGATACTTTAAAATGAAATGGTGCTAGTGTTACAATATGTGAGAATCAAACCTCACATTTTTTTAAAATCTATTTTTTCTTATACTAGAAATATGTGTGTGTGTCTTTAATCCAAAGTACAGAAATTATGGGTAGCATATAAATGAAAATTTTAAATATACTTCCTGAGACTTCCTAGTGGTACTTTCTAGAAATAGCTACTATTGATGTTTCTTCTGAGTTCTTCCAGCGTTTCTCTGCATAGCCAGTTAGTCATGTACCATGTGCACATGTCCTTACTTTACTTGTTAGTGAAAATGATTCTTCTGGTTTTTAAGTTACTGTATACCATTATATGAAAAGTCACTCTCTGAATCAGTTCAGATGGTACAAATGCTCTTGATGGGCATTTTATTTGTTGCCAGGTGTTTGCTATTAGAAACTGTACTAGTGATCATTCCATGTATATCTTTGGATAAATTTATCTAAATATAATTGCCGTACTGACTTTTGTGTTGAAAAAAACAGTTTTTCCTCTGCTCTCACACTATAACAGTCAACATAGGATATTTCTGTGACCAGTTATGTGGGAATATTTCCCCACATACCAAGTAATGTCTTTTGCAGTGGACACCGGCTGGGTGTCCTCCCATTTCAGTTCTGCCTGGAGATAGCATTAGATCAGCAGGTTGAGCACTCTGTCCCACAAAAATGAGCCCCACTTTGGATACTTCTGATACTGATTGCAAGCCCCAGGTTATTTTACCTGTGCTTCTGACCAACCAGCTTTGTCAGGGTTCCCACAACCCCCTCTTTGGGTTCAATTAATTTATCAGATTGGCTCACAGAACTCAAAGGAACACATACTTAACATTTGCCTAGTTATTATAAAGATTTTTTTTTTTTTTTTTTTTTGAGAGAGGGTCTTGCTTTGTCACCCATGCTAGAGTGCAGTGGAGCTCACTGCAACCTAGACTTTCTGGGCTTAAGCAAGTCTCCTACCTCAGCCTTTCAAGGAGCTGGGACTACAGGCAACATACACCACCATGCTAGGTAATTTTTTAAAAAAATTTTTTAGAGAAGGGGGTATCCCTATGTTGTTGCCCAGGCTGGTCTCAGACTCCTGGGCCCATGTGATCTTCCCACCTTGGCCTCCCAAAGTGCTGGGATTACAGAAACTTTGTGAGCCACCACACCTGGCTGGATATTTTTAAAGGATACAGATAAACAGCCCAGTCAAGGAATGCATAAGGTGAGGCCTGGATGGGCCCTGAGTGCAGGAGCTTTCATTTCACTGAAGTTGGGGTGCACTAGCCTCCTGACATGTGGGTGAGTTCTTTCTCGCTTTCCTGCAAGACCCACAAGTTCAGCTGTCTAGAAAGTCCTCCGACCCCATCCACTTGGGCCTCATGTGGAAAATTGATTGAATAGGCATGACTGAAGCATGGACAACCTTGTAGAACTGTGACTGGACAAAAAGGGCATGCTCTACTACTAACAGACTGGACGCAGAAACCCAGCAAGGCCTGTCTGCCCAGATTCTCCTTGGCCTTTCTGTGCAGCATTTCTTCTTCCTGGGTATGGGGTATGATCTCTTCTGAAATGGGGATCCTATGGCCTGCAATCAGACAAGGTAGGTCATAGAATTTCTTTATGACCAGTTCCAAGACAGAAAGGTGGGGAAAGATTGGAGTCCTGCTGTGAGGAGAAAAGGGAGCAGGTGAAAGGAGGACAGAATAAGGTCAGAGAGATACTCTGTTTTCTGAGGCTGCTTCTGAGGCCTGAAGTGCCCCAGTAATACAAAAAAGACCTTCACCTTTGTCCCTCTGAAGCTGTTCCAAAGCTGCTTCCAGAACCAAGGACAAATACTTTAATAAGTGATTGTTTTAGTCACTTAGGAAGGGCTATGGGAGTTATGAGCTAGGAACCATGGATGAAAAACCAATATATGTATATCATAATATCGCACTTTATCACTATTTTGTTGCTGAGCACTTCCATTTCCTCTTTAGCTTTGCTCTATAGTGCATTTGGTGTTATCATTGAGAAAACACGAGGTGCAGAAGATGACCTTAACACAGTAGCGGCTGGAACTATGACAGGCATGTTGTATAAATGTACAGGTGAGTACTGTTGAATGGAGAGCCATCTCTTAATACGCTTGAAGTGCACTTTTTAAAATTCATGGTTTTCAAGGAAACTACACTGTTGCAGTAAAATCTAGTGTTCTAACTTTATGGTTATTTTGGTTTGGTTTGGTTTTTAATTGTGGTAAAATAAACCTAAGATTTACCTTCTTAACCATTTTTTAAGCGTACAGTACGTTAGTATTACAGTCACATGATTGTATAGCCAATCTCAGGAACTTTTTCATCTTGCAAAACTGATACTCTATATCTATTAAGCCTCCTTCCAATTTACCACTCTCCTTAGCTCCTGATAATGTTATACTTTCTATCTCTGAATTGGCTGTTTTAGGCACCTCATATAAGTAGAATCATACAATATTTGTCCTTTTGTGATTGGCTTATTTTATGTAGCATAATATCCTCAAGGTTCGTCCATGTTGTTGCATGTGCCAGAATTCCCTTCCTTTTTAAAGCTAAATAATATTCATTCTGTGTATGTATGCCACGTTTTGCATGTGCATTCTTTTATCAAGGGATATTTGGGTTGCTTCTACCTTTTGGCTCTTGTGAATAATGCTGCTACGAATGTGGATGTACAAATACCTCTTCAAGATCCTTTTCTTTTTTTGGATATATATGAGAAGTGGGATTCTTGGATCATATGGTTTGTGGTGGTTTTTTGACATTAAGAAGATAAGATTCTTTTCTGTATTTTTCATTCATTTTAGTTTAGTTTTTTAAATCTTGGACAGACTAAGCAATAGAATATTCAGAATTGGTTTTGTTTTAAACAATAGTTTGACCTGTGTGACATCAGCATATTAAACTATCACAAGACACCCAAGGTCAAAGCCCAGGAATGACTTCCCTGTAAGTCAGTTTAGAGCATCTTATTCGTATGATCATCGTATGATCTACTGGGAGATCAACATGTTGCTGTCAAGGGTCATATAATTCTCTTCAGTGATAAATTTTTACTAGTTTAGAAGCATACATTCAAGTAATGCCTAATTTAGCTTTTTTATTATGTTGATACATCTTTGGCTACTTAATTTTTATTTTTACCAAAATAATCGACATACATGATTTTTTAAGTCAAGGTTTTTATCTTTTTAACATCTGAAAGATTTTAATGATGTGCGACAGTGTTCTATACGTCTCACCTTAATTCCCTTTTCCCAAAGGCAACTTTTAATTTTTTTTTTTTTCTTTTGATATGGAGTCTCACTGTCACCCAGGCTGGAGTGCAGCAGCGTGATCTCAGCTCACTACAACCTCCACCTCCCAGAATCAAGCAATTCTCCCATCTCAGCCTCCTGAGTAGCTAGGACTACAGGCGTACGCCACCACATCTGGCTGATTTTTGTATTTTTAGTAGAGACAGGGTTTCACCATATTGGTCAGGCTGGTCTCAAACTCCTGACCTCAGGTGACCCACTCTCCTCCCTCCCAAGTGCTAGGATTACAGGTGTGAGCCACCATGCTTAGCTTATTTTAGTATTTTTTTAAAACAGAGTCACTCTTATCATCCAGGCTGGAGTGCAGTGGCACAATCAAGGGTCACTGTAGCCTTGACCTCCTGGGCTCAGGTGATCCTCCCATCTCAGCCTCCTGAGTAGCTGGGACTACAGGCACACACCTCCACACCTAGCTAATTTTTTTTTTCCAGAGATGGAGTCTCACTATGTTGCCCCGGCTGGTCTTGAACTCCTGGGCTCAAGCAATCATCCTGCCTCAGCCTCCCAAGGTGCTGGGATTGCAGATGTGAGCCACCATGCCCAGGCTGCTTTAATTCATTATTTTTTATTTTCATGTTTCTAAATAATATTATTGTCTTGATTTTTCTTGACTTTTCAATCTTACATATAGTCTGTTGACTTCCAAGAGGAAAGCTGTGTTAACTCCTTTAAGAACTGTACAAAATATGCTTTTTTTGTACAAATTGTACAAAATACCACCTTTTCTTTGAGGCCTTCTCTTAAACACTGTAGTACATACAGTTTTGCACATACATTTTAATTGTAGGATAAATTGCTAAAAATAAGTTACTTGAGCAAATTATCTGCATGCTTAAAACGTGAATGACTACTACCAAATGACCCTTCCAGTACTTGCTAATCTTTGCCAGTGTTGTCATCTACCATCACTTTTTTTTTTTTTTTTTTTGAGACAGAGTTTCACTCTTGTTGCCGGGCTGGAATGCAATGGCACGATCTAGGCTCACCACGACCTCTGCCTCCCGAATAGCTGGAATTACAGGCATGCACCACCATGCCCAGCTAATTTTTTGTGTTTTTAGTAGAGACAGGATTTCTCCATGTTGGTCAGGCTGATCTCGAACTCCCAACCTCAGGTGATCTGCCAGCCTCAGCCTCCCAAAGTGCTGGGATTACAGGCGTGAGCCATCGCGCCTGGCCTACCATCACTTTTTTTTTAAGGTAGGTAGTGAACTGTTTTAATGTTTTACTTTGCTTTTTCCTGGTTGCTTATGAGAATGAGCACCTTTTTTTTTGTTTAGTGGTTGGTGGCATACCCTTTCTCTATTTTTTATCATATTGTTGGTTTGATTGATTTGTTGGAACAGTTTATATATTATGGCAGTTAGCACTTTGCCAATTATATATTTTACATGAATTTTTACTTCCTGGAAAATTGTTGATGCCGGTAACAGAAATGTAGAAAGCATCCAGAGGTTCTTTTTGGTATGTGAAGTGTAATTCTCAAGGGCTGGTATTCAATTTAGACATTGATAAATAGAACCTCTTAACAATAACCTTAATGAGAGTTGCCTAATTTGTATATCCTTTTACCTTAAATGACTTTGTTTTTAAGCTGACTTTCTTATGGAAGGAAGACATAAGATTAACAGTTCAGGGTGTTTTGGAGAGGAAGGCATCACCCGTATCCTTTGGTTTCTGAGGACTTATTTCTGAGAATATGTGACAAGGCTGCTCTAAAATTCCTAAGCTTATTGATGATGGCAAAACTACAGCTGTTTCTTTTCCAATAGAGCACTGGTTATTATTGAATAGATTCTCATATGTCACAGGGAATCTAATAACATTTCACATTTTTGGAGAAAATTTATGTAATTCATTAAAGAAGCATTAGACCTGAATTAAAATCACATGAATATCAGAGGTCTACCTTTAAATTAGCCTTTTGGGGCCGGGCACAGTGGCTCACACCTGTAATCCCAACACTTGGGAGGCCAAGGTAGGTGGATCATCTGAGGTCAGGAGTTCAAGACCATCCTGGCAAACATGGTGAAACCCTGTCTCTGCTAAAACACAAAAATTAGCTGGGCATGATAGTGGGTGCCTGTAATCCCAGCTAGTTGGGAGGCCGCGAGAAGAGAATTGCTTGAACCCAGGAGGCAGAGGTTGCAGTGAGCAGACGTCGCGCCACTGCACTCCAGCCTGGGTGATAGAACGAGTCTCCGTCTCAAAATGAAATGACATGACATCATGAAATGAATAATTGAATGCGGGTGGTGCACTCCAGCCTGGCCGATACAGCAAGTCTCTGTCATGAAATGAAGTGATGAAATGAAATGAAATGATGAAACGAATAATTATATGCCAGGTTTGGTGGCGCACTCCAGCCTGGGTGACAGAGCGAATCTCCATCTTGAAATGAAATGAAGAAATAAATGAAATGAATACTGAAATGAAAAAATGAAATAAAATGAAGTGCTGGGTGTGGTGGCACACTCCAGCCTGGGCAATAGAGCAAGTCTCCGTCTTGAAATGAAATACGAAATGCCGGGTGAAATGAAATGAATAATGAAATGCCTAGTGTGGTGGTGCACTCCATCCTGGGTAATACAGTGAGTCTCTGTCTCGAAATGAAATGATATGACATGACATGACATGATGAGATGAAATAATGAAATGAATAATGAAATGCCGGGTGTGGTGGTGCACTCCAGCTTGGCTGATAGAGTGAGTCTTCATCTCGAAATGAAATGAAATGAAAAATGATGAAATGAAATAATGAAATGAATAATGAAATGCTGGGTACAGTGGCACACTCTAGCCTGGGCAATAGAGCAAGTCTCCGTCTCAAAATGAAAAACGAAATGGTGAAATGAATAATGAAATGAAATGAAAAACTGAAATAGATGAAATAATGAAATGCTGGGTGCAGTGGTGCACTCCAGCCTGGGCGATAAGAGTGAGTCTCTGTCTCGAAATGAAATGAAATGGGATGAAATGAAATAATGAATAATGAAATGCCGGGTGAAATGAAATGAAGAAATATGAAATGAAATGAATAATGAAATGCTGGGTGTGGTGCTGCACTCCAGCCTGGGTGATAGACTCCATTTTGAAATGAAACGAAAGAAATGACATGATGAAGTAAATATGAAATGAAATATGAAATGCTGGGTGCGGTGGCTCATGCTTATAATCCTAGCACTTTGGGAGGCCAAGGCGGGCGGATCACCTGATGTCAGGAGATCAGCCTGGCCAACATGGTGAAACCCTGTCTCTACTAAAATACAAAAATTAGCCTGGCATGATGGCAGGTGCCTGTAATCCCAGCTACTTGGGAGGCTGAGAGGAGAATTGCTTGTACCCAGGAGGTAGAGGGTGCGGTGAGCAGAGATCACGCCACTGCACTCCAGCCTGGGCGATAGAACGAGTCTCCATCTCGAAATGACATGATGAAATGAAATAATGAAATTAATAATGAAATGTGGGTGGCACACTCCAGCCTGGGTGATAGAGCAAGTCTCTGTCATGAAATGAAATGAGAAATGAAATATGAAATGAATAATGAAATGCTGGGTGCACTCCAGCCTGGGTGATAGAGCAAGTCTACATCATGAAACTGAAAAATGAAATAGATGAAATGAAAAAATGAAATAATAAAATGAATAATGCTGGGTGTGGTGGTGCACTCCAGACTGGGCGATAGAGCAAGTCTCTGTCTTGAAATGAGATGAAATGAAGTGAGAAATGAAATGATGAAATGAAATACGAAATGCC